CCGTGCGGGCGCGAGAGGTGCGGGCGGGCGGGCGGGCTGGCGGGCGGGACGGGGAGGCGCCGGAGGTGACCGCCTCGGCTCCATTGTATTTGCTTGGAAACCGCTGGGCCAGCGGGGACGGCCTGGGGCGGTGTCGCTCCCGGCGGGGGGCGAGCGGGACCGTTGGGCTGGACACCCGGGGGCGGCCTGGCAGGCGGCTGGGGCCACCCGCGCCGCCACGAAAGCCTCTCGCTGCTTCCCGCCCAGCTAGCCCCGCTCTGATTGGTCGCCGTGGGAGGGACCGAGTTGGCGGCGAGCGCGGTCCCGGGCGGCCCGCGGAGGGGACGCACTGGGTGCTCTGCGCCCGGGCTCGGCTGTCCGCGCAGGTACGGCGGCAGCTGGCCGCTGCGACCGCGACGCACAGGATCCGCAAGCGCTGCTTGCACACGCCCTCGCCCCGGTGTCAGCCCAGCCCACCCGGCTCTGCAGCCCCGCTTCTTTTCTTCCTCCCCGCCCGTCCGTCAGCACCCGAGCGCAAATCCTCGGGTGGTGTAGGGGGAGCAGCTGGAGGCAGGGTGGGCAGGCGCGGAGGCATCTTCCAGGGAGGCCGAGATGGCAACGGCCGAAATGTAAGGCACCTCCCTCCCGCGTCTGCCCGCCCGCCCGCCAGCCGGCGGAGGTGCTCTGGGCGGCGGCGCGGCCCCGCCACCCGGGACAGCATCCCTATGGTCTTCTTCCTAGCTCCCTATTGTTCGCACTTTGCCGGGATCTGGAACCTCGCCCAAAGAAAGGAGCCTGGGGCGAGGTGCTGCGGGGCAGCTACCTGCCATTCTTTGCTCGCACCGTGCAACACGGAGCTCTCGGTGCGTGTGAAGGCACACGCCCGCACACACGCGCGCACACACCAGCAGCCCCGATCACGCCCTCCTCGCCCTCCGCCCCTCTGCACTTCCTCCTGTCAAAACGCGGCGCTCGACCCTCCCATCCCTCCTTGCTCCGGGCCGAGGGCAGGCTTTGCAACTAACCAGCAATTTGGCAAATGAAAAACTAACGTCATAAGGACGGGGGTGCAACAACGGCCACACAGCCCTGCGATGCTGCCCATTTTCGCCCCATTTTGCAAACCGTTATTCAGCCCGGGGCGGCGGCGGGAGTGAGGGGGTGGGTGAAGAAGCCCAGGGAGCCTCAGTTTAATGACACCCGGGGAAATGACGGTGGGGGCGGCTGTCGTCCTTATTGTTCCCCCTTCCCGGAGCCCAGGCTGACAATCCCCTTCCCGGCGGTAGGCGAGCCTGAGCGGCGACGCCAGGGGCACGACATCGCCCGCCTTCGGAGAAGGAGCGTTGCCCGTCGCCCAGGTTCCCGGGAGCCAGTCCCTGGCTCTGATCGCTGCCCGCACACAGAGTGGGAAGGGCGGGCGCGCTGGCGGGGCGCTGGCGCTGGCGGGGCGCTGGCGCTGGCGGCGCGGGGAGACAGCCCCGGTCCGGTGTAGCCCGGCAGGGCGCGGGGTTCAGCCGGGCAGCGAGGGCGACCCGCTTCTTTCCCAGCTCAACGAAAATGACCAGTCTTAGGTTTGCACATAAAATCATCCCCAAATAACAGTGTTCCTCTGGAGAGGATGGGGGGAAAGGGACAATTAGCAAATCAGCTGTAGAATTAAAAAGAAAAAAAATAATGTACCTGCAGTTCCCAGGAAAAACAAAGTCCAGATGAGATCCTTAGTTTGCAGCATTGTAATCTGCTGTCGGGGAGGGATGTTCTCACCGCGGTAAATTCTGTGCCCCCCTTTGCAGCGAGTGTGGACGGCGGCAGAGCAACAGACCTAGGGGCAGACAATTGCCAGGCTGAGTATGATTATTTTTGCAGAATTGTTTCCTGCCAGCGGCTGCCGAGCTGCGTTCACGCGCTGATCGGAGAATGAGTGACAGTCCCAGCCTCAGCACACTCGCAACTCGGAGATCCTTGCGCTGGCCCGGGTTCGCTTTGATGGAACTGGGGATGGGAGCGGGGGACGGGGGTGAGAACCTCACTGTGTCCTTCCACCACGCTGGCCACAAATAGTGCCGAACATCAAGGAGGTAAGAGACGGGGAGGCAGATGCGGACGCCTGCAAAACGCGGCCTGGAGTTCCCGAGGAGCAGGGTTCTTTCCCTGGAAATCCAGGCAGAGCAGGGATTTCATCTTTTCAAGCTTCTAGCGCCAGCCTCCGGGCCGCCTCCTGCCATCCAGACCTCCTTAGTCAAGACTTTGGATATTTTAATCGCTAGTATAGGACAAAAATAAAGTCTTAGATCGTTTCAATTCTCAAAGCTATGGAATCCTTAGATTTAGACCCTAAGATCTTTGTGTCCACAAGGACACTCTAGGATTTTGTTCTCTAAGTGCAAAAAATTAGAAATTTGGAGAGGGGTGGGGCTTGCTGTTTCTGGTTTTGTTTGTTTGTTTGCTTGCTTGCTTGCTTGTTTTCTCCTGGCTATGAAGTTTGCACCCCCACAGAGTCCACGCACCAACACCACACAGCGAGTCCCAAGGAAAGGAGGTGGGAAGCCACTTATGTCAGAAGAACATGCAAATGTTTAGAAATAATTTCCAGAAATAACTGCAGTAAAATATTTCCTTGTTAATAAATGCTGAAATCCATGTTTTTTTTTTTTTTTTAAAGGCCAAGTCCTTTACATGGGCATTATGACAGGAGCAATATTAACATTTTCCACCTAAAGGACATAACTTCATTTCTTCAAGATATTAATGTAGAATATTCCAGAAATACCAACACAATGACTTCAATTAGTCTCTCAGCTGGATCTGAAAAAGAAGAGGCTAGGGGGAGCAGGGTGAAAGTAAAAATGTCTCAGCCCTTGAACAAAGCATGAATATGGGCCTGAAGATAGCCCCAGGGCACAGTGCCTGCCTGGAAAGTGCAAGGTCCTGAGTTCCATTCCTAGTACTAGAACAAAAAAGACATAAATATGTAAGAAGCAGAGGCAAAGGTGTCCCAGCTCTGGGGTTGCCCTGTTAGCCTGGCACAATGAAAGCCTCAAGAAGAGTAAGGCACCAACGCTGCCAAGCACTGCCATTTTCTTTGAAGCATGTGATCCCTGCTGTAGAGCACATTTTAGAGTCCCCTGCTGGCTGGCTGGCTGGCGCCAGCGCTCTCCAGGCTTCGCTCCTCCTCCTTGGATACTCTCTTGAGGCCACGACAACACAGTAGGATTTCAGGGAACCCCTAAAAGGTATAGTCTCCCCAAAACCAATCTTTCAGGTTACTTTTGTAATGTTTACCCCACACTAGTTATAAACAACCCAGAAATATTGTAAGGTAGAAAGAAGACACTAAAAATTAACCCCAAGTCCCCCAGATTTTACAGATACTCACAGGTTTTCCAAATCTTTGATGTAGGATGATTTTTATAATTGACACATCATAGCAGCAATTTGGAGCCCGCTGATTTTCTCCGAATATTTCATTATAAGAATTTCCATAGAGCCATTAAAAGGCTTTCTAAATATTTTATAGTTGTGTAATATTTCCTCCTACAGAGGATGCTTCAATGGTTTCCCCAACGTTGATATTTAGGTTGTTTCCAGAGTTTGATAATATAGTTTTTTCTAGACCATCTCTCAACATATATTTGTTGAACAATCACTGTGTGTAGCCCTATATACAATTATATATTAATGATTAGTATAATTATAAATCAATAATTAATATAATTATATGCATACTAATATTAGTTTGCATTGAAGCTGAAATGACTCCTAAAGGCCTGTATTCTCAAGGTTGGTTTCTTAGGGTGGGATTATTGCGAAGTGATGGGACCCCCTAGGAGGCAGAGCCTCATAGATCATAAAGGTACTCCCTTGAAGGAGGTGGCAGTGCCCTAGGCCCTTTCAGGCTCCACGGTCTCCTAATAGCTTGAGGCAAGTGCTTTCCACTCCGTGTGCTCCCCACCTTAATGCTCTCCCTCGCCACAGGCCCCAAGCCAATGAGGCCAAGCACTCATAGACTAGAACCTCTAAAACCATGAAACAAAAGAATGACTGTAAGGTTCTTATCTCAAGTATGTGTTACAGCGATGGAAATCTAACATTCTCTGTGTGTGTGTGTGTGTGTGTGTGTGTGTGTGTGTGTGTGTGTACACATGTGCATGCATGCACATGTGCATTAATGGTTTTTCTACCTAAATATCTTTGGCTTCAGACAAGAGCTTCTGCTAGCAGACAAAAATTACATTAAACTTTGATTTTGTGTGGGTGAACATTTCAGACTCTTTCTTAAAGAAGATGTCTTGATAGTGGCAAAAGATGGAGAAAATAGGAAGAAGAGAGTAAAGACTGGGAACCTCCCCCCTGCCAAAATTTAATTTTACTACCAAGAAGGAGCCGCACCTTTTTCTGCAAACCTCTCTCTGTGTAGCCGAGTAGATTTGCAAGATACCTCATTATCTTTCTCTTCAAATGTCCCTATTTTTGGCTTTTCAATGTAGACAAGTGTGGAAATCCTGTGTCACTTTGGTATGACTGGATCTTTTTCTTTCTCTCTCCAGCCCCTCCCTGTGCTGGGTAGCTGTTGATCTTTGTTGTAATGACTCATTCTAGAATGCTGCCCCAGTTACTCCAGTCTGTGCTCCTAGTATCTCTCCGATGTTCTTCCAACAGAATGCACTGCTTGTTTCCAACTCTTCAGCTCTGCTCTGTGACACATTTCAGTCCTTCCTGAACCTCGCTTTCAAATGAGCTGAAACTGTGGCCCTCTGCAGACCTCAATCGTGGGAAAGACTCCCAGGCAGTCAGGTACACATCAGTGACATCGACAGGGTCAGAGCAGAAGAAGAAACACCCAGATTGTGCCAGCGAGACTGTGCTGTTAGTAAAAGAAAAGCATGATCTAAGGGAACGGTCACAGCAAAGAAACCAGCTAAGCGCCCAGGACAGTTTCCAACTTGCTGTGGTAGGCTGTAATCTAAGGGAGCATCAGAAGGCAAGGGAACAAGCAGGGGCACAGTATTTGGGAAATACTTCATGATAAAAATGGCAGAACTTCTGAACTTTCCAAAGATTTGTGTTCCAGGCAGAGGAAGACATCCAAATTCTTTTCATTCAGTCAACAAATATTTATGTAGCATTAACTAAATACCTGGTTCAGCCCCAGATGTTGGAGATGGTAGCCATGAACAAAAGCAGGTCTTCACTCCCATTCTTATGGAGAAGGTTGACAATGAATCACTAAACATCTAGTATACACATGATAAGTGTCAAAGACACCAGTAAAGAGAAGTAAGGCTGTTGGGGGTTCTGGGGTGGGGAGGAGACACCTTTTGGACCAAGGGAGATATTTGACGAAGATCTAGAGAAAGTGAAGTCTCCAAAGCTTCCACAGGGAGAAAATACAGCTTCTGGTAACAAGGTCAGAGAGCAGAAGAGGAAAGGAAGACTCAGAGTTGGCAATTAGCAAAGGAGCAACAATGTCAGCTTTGGAAATACTAGGTCCAACATGTTTGAAAACCATCCAAGTGGAAATGTGCAGAAGACAGGTAGAACACTGCTGTTTAAGGGATGTCAGAAGGACCTGCCAAAGAGAGAATGGAAAGGCGGTCAGCGAGTTGCAAACCTGAAGGAGAGGAAATGGCGTAAGTGATCAGAAAGGTGAAGGCTTAAAAGAACTTCCTAGATCAGACCACTGGAAAGTCCTTCATGGTCTCCAAGAGATCAGAATTCACGGAAGGGTGGCGAAGGGAAGTGTCCCTGTCCCTGAGGGAAGGGAGGGGGCTGGGCATGTGGAACATCTTCCCAGGAGTAAGTGAAGGGTGAATATGTGATACTGACAAGGAAAGACAAGGTGGAGGGACAAGGAGGCTTCAAGAGGTGCATCTTTCCCTCTCTTTTGACATGAGGACTTTGTCTTTAGGTCCTGAAGGAAATCAAATCAGTTGTAAACTGCTGCTCATCACCACCATTACCTTATACACCAACTTTGACTGTTAGAAAATGAACTTGATATAGAATTAAGTGTCACAAAGGGTCATTTTCCTATTGCTATTGAAAAGAGGCCCGGGGGCCAGGGAGATGGCTCAGTAGAATAAGCTCTTGCCTGGCAAGCGCAAGGGCTTGAGTTCAATACCCGGTTCCGCCAAAAAAAAAAAAAAGAAAAAAAGGAAAGAGGATGGCATGCATGACCCCAAAGCTCTGACTGCCCTAGGAGTTTTATTTCACTTTTCACATGGGCAAAGTGCATTGTTGGAAGCCCAGCAGGTTAGAACCAAGGTAAGAGATGGAGAACTTGGGCTGCAGGAGACTGGAAGAGAGCTGGGGCCAACATGATAGAAGAGATGAAACTGAGCTCACCAACCTTAGGAGTGAAAGTCTGTGGAGGCCCCCAGCTCACTCTTAGCTTCTCTTATTCCATATTTAGTTGGCATCTAAGCTGTACTGCATGGTAGGGCAGGGGCAACACGCTCCCCTCCCTGCTCAAGGTTGACTCGGTCATGGGTGTGTACTCTTGGACACTCACCAGTGCATCCAGAAGAATGGTACCTGGGACTCCCAGAGGAAGGGGCTGAGCCCCAGAATCACTGCTTCTTTGCTCAATGCACTGCTTCCAAGGGTTCTTTGAATACCCCACTTACCCACTCACCGTATTGTTATCATGACAGATTTCTGGCATCATTGCAAATAAAGCATCAAGGAAGAAGTATTATTTTATTTTGCTCTGTTTTTAATTGTGTAAGAGGTTTATTAAGGAGTACTTTCAGTGTCAACACCTGTATGGAAAGAAAGAGGTTGGAAAGAAAAAGAGTAGTGCCTGGTGAGCGCAGGAAGACCTTCCTCTGAGGACTCTAAACCTATTTTCAATATCTTTACATTGACCAGAGACTACAGTGTGGTCATCCTGAGAACACAATTCAACCTTAGGAAGGGCGGTTGTCTTCAGTCAAGGGCAGTTTCCAAGGCACAGTGGATGGGGAAGGTTCATCAAGCATCTGGCAGAAAGTCCCCTGATCCAGAAGGGAGAGTCTGGGCACCTTAGCATACCACTCATTAGCAGAGTTTAGCGCTCAATCAATATCTAATTTGAGTAAGTTGAGT